TTGGGGGGGGGGAGGTTCTACATTTTACCTATCTGAAGCTCACCCAGCGATGTGCACTGAAACGGCAGCAAAGAGAAACTTTGCAAACAGATTGAAGTCTGTGCTTCATCGTGGTGGAGCTGCTTTTATATTAAGTTCAGTTTTACTCAGACGAGTTAAGAGGATTAGTTATTTGTTTTCTACTCCATTAAACAGATGCAATATTTATGAAGTCAAATAACCACAAAACCTTGTTGAAATGTTAGTGGGATGTTTGAGATATGAAAACCAGTGAATCATTTGCCAATTATTTTCCTGTTTATGGAAGAGTGCTCTCCATAACTCCCCCCACTAACAGTGATGCTGGGGAAGGCAGGATGTGTTCGAAATTTATGCAGCCGGTAACGGGCAGACAACACAAGTCACTCTGGCGTTCATGCGTTTTACAGCGTGGCCTTGATGATGACTCCCATCAGTGTTTAAGAGCCTAAAGTAATCGTTTAAATGCATGGAGCTTATCCTTCATGAATATGCTGAAAATATACCATACGTCTTGAATACCGAGTGTGGTTCTTGTACTGTAAATGTTTAAAAAAACAATTAATTCCTTCTAAGCTCTAATCTCAGTTGTGTTGACTACAGAGACCAGTGATAAATGGAATTTCTTTGAATGGTACTCATAGCTCGACACGTCTCGATAACCTTAAGCTGGCCACCTCTCCTGCATTTTTGCCATTTAAATTAACTTAGCTGTGTATAAAAACATAAATAGCCTCTAGTGTAAAACAGAAAAATCTCCCATTCAGTTATGAATTACTGGCAACCCAGAGGGCTCCAACTTACAATCTTTTTAAAATCAATTTGACTTCCTTTTGCTAGCCCTTTGTATGGTGGTCGACAGGTGCAAATGCACAGCAAACAGCAAAACGTGCAGCAAACGCATGTATGGTGCAAACTCAAAAACAAGCAAACGCAACAAAAACAAACGTAAACACACACAAAAAAAAAATCACATGGAAACACAAAAAAGTACATGCAAACACAAAAAACACATGCAACAGAAAAATGATGTATGATGCAAACTGAAAACACTCACAAAAAAAGATTAAGATGCGATAAAGATTAGCAAAACAAGCAATAAGTACAGCTAAGATAATCTGGCACATTTCTAAGATCTGCCAATGTAAAGTAGAAATACTCCCAATGATTTGTGTATAAAATGTCTGTATTACTGAAATTAGTGTTTGGATCGGTCTAAAAGGTCTATCAATTTACAAAACATTGGCTGATCTTAGAAATGTGCCTGTTAGCTGGACTTATTGCTTGTTTTGATAATCTTACCCCCTAATTCCAACTTCATATTGTGACAAAATTATCTAATGCTTTCTTTTCCATGTTTATCTTAATATAATGTCTCTGATTTTCCTATGAAATATCAAATTACATTATTTAAAGCCATTGTCTTGCCAATGTTTAATTTTCTGCCTTTACTTTTAACAAAAGGGACTTTTTGTTTCTTTACATTACCAAAACCTCTCTTTACTTGAGACATTTTATGTATCCTTGCATACTATGAAAGTATTACTATAACTTTAGAAAGTGGCCGCTCAGCTATATTATATTTCCAGGTGATCTGGTGTCATGTGATTTGGTGGTTGACGCCCCCTAGTGGTCTGGTGCACTTCCGTTTATTCGGGTTGTTCGCAGCATTTCTTACTCGCAGTTGTTTTGCTGTTTGCAATGTTTCTTACTTGCAGTTGTTGTAATATGCAGCCACCGTAATTTCAAGTATTAACCATTTGCTGTGTGTTTAGCTGTTTGCAGTGCGTTTGCACCTGATGGCTACCGTACCTTTGCCTTAGCACCTTATCTGAAGAGGCAAGAAGTAGCAGTTGCAGTAAATTAGTCCAGTATGAAATGGGGCACTTTTTAAAGAAGCCAGTACACCATTAATCATTACAGATATACATGTATATGAATGGTTAATAGAACCATAGCATGTATATTAATTTTAAAAAAAAATACTTTGGTACATGACGTTATTTCTGTGTTTGTTGAAAAAGTTCAGAATGCATCAAAATCGACTTACTTTGCTAATGTCCCTGTCATTAGCAAATTCATACTTCTGGCTATTCAAACCCTAAACTATAAAATAAATGCAACTCCAAGGTTCTTTGAAAAGCAGCTTGACAAAAAAAATCTAAAAATTATACAGAAGATCGCTCACCTAAGTGTGAAATTTTCCAGAGTAGATGTGCTTGGCAGAAAAACGTAGAAGGTTGCCACGTCTGTGGTTTTCAGTGGTTTGGAAGAAGTTTGGATTATCACAGCACCTCCCAGCCTCAGTCGAAAAAATGTGGGGTTTCCAGATGGAGCTTTGATGAGATTGACACTTCCTATCCTTTTCATAGGTGTTCCCGATCCCACAGAGTCTCTGCCTCGTCCCACTCCTACTCGCTGCAAACTATCTTGTGGAGTACACTGGCCAGTCTGGTCCCTTCTGCTCTGGAAGTAGACTTCCACAAGATTCCCCTGAAGTCCCTTAATTCCTTCAGTTTTTTCCACTTCTTTACTAGAGCTTCCAGATCTGCTGGCTGAGCTGAACCAAGATGCTTCTAGTTTCAGATGTGCCATGCAGAATCCCCCTGGAGAAACCAGACAAGCCCCACGGACTTCCTTCGTTTCCCAAAAGGCGTAAGCTGTCACACAGTAGGCTCCATCCTTGGCCTTGTCCCCATCATTTTTCTTCTCATTATCTTCTTTGGAACCCAATGTGTCTTGGCTGAAAGTGAAATTATTTTCTGTAGGCATGTGGAAGAGGACCTTGACAACCGGGGACGAGGAACGAACTTGGCGGACTAAAATGACCGGTAGAATTCTGCGTCCACTGAGGAGCAGGTCAGGAGGGATTATAGTATCTACTGCTAGGGAGCCATATGATGCCTTGATAGCTGGTTGTAGGATCCCAGCACCTGGACCGGTGATGAGAAAAGTCTTAGCCTGAACTTTTAGACTGGAGTTCCCTGATGGTTCAGAACTGCCCTGTCTCAGAAACACATGGTCTGCATTGAAGATCTGAAAGTTGACTGCTGGATAAATGAGGGATGGAGGAGAGAATGTCTCTGTGTCCTCAGCAGGTTTCTGGCTTTCAACAGCTGAAAGAAAATGTACAAAAATAAATAAATAAATCAGGCAGAACAGTATATTGATCTTTTAACTAAAATGTCTTCAGCAGAAACCAGAAATAATTTGACTTAGACATTTTCCATATGCAAAAAGCTTTTAAGAGACCACAAAACAGTATTTTTTAAATGAGAGTTTCTGTGTAGACAGCCAAAATGTAACCTTTTGAAAACAAGGTCTGTCTCACATCCTGCCTAACCGACAACACCAAACATGATGGATGTAGCGACAACAATGTCGGATTACATGCTTTTTGTTGCAGATGCCAGTTCCTCAACCCCACCAAAACCTGTGTAGCTTCAATAAGCAGGCAAGGTTTGCAAGAATATCTTTTAAAATGACAAATGGAAAAACAGTGTGTTCATGAGTTCAGAGACTCCACTTCCTCAGACGGCTGAGGTGAGGTGTACTGGGAAGCTCAGTCCTCACCTCCTTCTACAAGTGTGCAGTGGAGAGCATCCTGTGCTCCAGCAACAATGTGTGGCATGGAGGCTGCACAGCTGCAGAAAGAAAAGCTTTGCAGAGAGTGGTGAAGGCTGCACAGAAGTCTGTTGGAGTCAGTCTCACCACCATCACAGACATCTACACGTCCAGATGCAGGAAGAGGGCCACCTGCATCATGAAGGACCCCACTCACCCAGCGCACACACTTTTTGTCCCACTCCCCTCAGGCAGAAGGTTGAGGAGCATTAAGTTCAGAACCACTAGGCTGAAGAACAGCTTCTACCCTGAAGCTGTTAGACTCATGAATCCCTAGTCAGGATTATCACAGTGAAAAAAATCACTGTAATGCCACTTGGTTGTTGATATGTGCTGCTGACTATCCATAATGCTGATCTCATGCTGCTGATTTATTTCATGTTGCTGTGTTCATTTGTCCTGAACTGCTCTGCTCACACAGACTCATGTTTGTGCTGCTGTTGTTTGGCGCATTGTCTTGTACTATTAGTGCTTAATATATTCTTAGTTTAGCATATTTCTTAGTTCCTGTCTTAGATCTTACAACTGTTTTTCTTTACAATTTGTACTTTTTTGGGATGTAACTGGGACCCTGTGTACATAGTTTTGTTCCACCTCATGTACCACATGTGATGTGAAAGACAAGAACCTTGAATCCTTGAAACAAGGCCTTGAAAAGAAGAATTAGCAAATGGGTTGCTTCCTTTTGTTACAAAAAAGAAGAAAAGTACCAATGTTGAGTTGTTGGACCAAACATGAAAGCTTTTATTCCTATTTCATGACTCTTAGGAGAAATTTTCTGTTCTCCATAATAATAACAAAATCACTGCATTTGACAGTGATGACACTCGTTATAGGCAAAATAGGACAAAGACCATGTGATGAATAACTATACGCGTATATATAACGGGAAAAATCTACAGGTTGTTCTTGTGAAATGTTCAAGCAGATGAATGGCTCAGTTACAAAAGCCTACTACTGCTAAGTGGCTTGGAGGTTGTACACATGGCACTTTTCCTTCCACTAAAGCGTAGTAACCATATGCAAAAATATTTATGTCATATCCTGTGGTCCTAAGTGCTTTGCTGTGTTTGTTTCTATACCAAAACATCTACTCTGTGCTCTTGACATAAGACGATGTAATGCAATAAAAGCAGTAGTAAATGCATCTACAGTAAGTGCTGAAAAGCTGCTCTTTTACAATTTCCATAATGACTTTGCTCCAATCCGATGTTATATGTGACAGAACTCACTTCCCGCTGCCAAAGACAATTAAGTATATCACTTTTTTTTTTTTTCTAGCAGAAATGCAGCAGGACTTCTGTGTGCATGACTCATATTTGTTTTAGAAGCAGACACAAACCTTGGTTAAAGCAAAATCTCTGATCCCCATGAGATTTATGAATTTAAATAATTCCTTATGCAAATGTTTAATTTCATGAGTTCATTTACATTTATATAGGTTTTTCCTTTGAGTGACAAGGGAAACCTGAACATATGACAAGTTTAGTATTGAACAGTAGTCAGAGGTAAAAATGCTGTGCTGATTCCTGTGATTGGACCGATGACTCGTTAAATTAAATTATTTTATGGCATATTTAAAGTAAATCAAAACAAAGTTTGGCTAATTGTTTTCTTCACCCAAGTGCTGTAAATTTAGATGTACTGAATAATAAATTTAAGACTCAGACTGATATCAGTGTTTATAATAAAGTCTGTACTTTAATAAGTTGGCCTATCAAAAATGTATAATTTTTTTTTTTTGTTGTTGTTGCACATCAGACACCCCAGTTCACCAAAATATATGCTTGAGATAAATATCACATGTTGCTGAAAATGCAAAGGCAGGTGATAATGTGTTTGCTTTTGTCTCTGTTTACTTCTGTTTGTGTCTGTCTGTTAACAAAATATCTCAAAAACCACTGTGCAGATTTTAATTAAACTTTCAGCAAGTAATTTCTGGATGTACGTTTATAACTCAATGCTTTTTGAAGTCAGTCTAATTTATTATGGCCGCCTCATCCTACTAAACTTAGAAATCACAAAAGTGGCTATAACTCAAGCTAATCTATAGAAATTAAGCTGAAAATTGAGTGTTGCTATAGCCGAGACTGAGTCACAACATGTAATACAAGAGCTACTTATTACGCAACATCTTTGTTTAAAACGTCATCCTTTACTCTTAGTCAAAACCGTTTGTCTGTTAGCAAAATATCTCAAGAAGTACTGAGCCACTTTTAATGAATTATTTAAAATATAATCATAGGATGAACATTAATAAATTAATAACTTTTGGAGTCATTCCAATTCAAGACGGTCATCACAGCTAATCACTATTACCCAACAGAAAAAAAGGCTATCAAATGATCAATTTTAAAGATTTTTAGCTAAAGTCTGATGTGGTAGTAGCTGAGAATCATTCACAACATACATACAACATATCAGCATGCTATATTACAATATGCCATGAGTTTGGAATCAAAACGGCTACAATTTTGTCATTTATTAAAATAAAATCATCATAGTCTTTAAAAAAAACTTTAATAGAGTTGACAGACAATATGCATTTCTTCAAGGAATGCTAGGCCTTTTTTTTTAATCATTTATTTTCATGGGATAACTAGTTTATTGTAACTAAAAGAAAAAAGAAAAGAAGCCTTAAAAGTTCATTGCTGTTTTTAAACGAGATTAGATAACTGCTGTTTGACGCCAGATGTTTGTGCTGTCTAGTTTACTGTAATTGCTGTCTGGATTCTCATTATTCTACTCTGAAAGGCACGAGAGAGCGATGTCTGAGTGCAGCAGCTTGTAAATCCAGCTGTTTAAATTTGTCATCATAATTTAAAGCATGTAGATTACTGAAGGTCAAAGCAATTCCCTGAATGAAGGACAAAAACAGACTCGGATATTTATTTTTTTTTACCTGACATCTGACAAACTGGTTCCAGCACTGATGAACAGTGCTGTTCATCAGTGCATTGATCTACAATGCTTTTATTTTTTTTTTTTTTTGATTGACAAATACATGATAAATAAAACTCAAGACCCGTAAGGCAGCACATCTGTGGCTGTGGAAAATAAGGCTGCTGAGCTGATTATCAAGAGCAGAAGACATCAAGAACCAAACCCTAATACTTGAGCATGCATTTGAGACACAGCTGAGTCCCGCAGTAGCAGAAACTCAGCACATGCGTGATGAAAAAACATCCACACCCATCTCTTGCATAAATAGAATTCCAGCCAATGTGAAATAGAGGTTTTTGCATGAATTTGGTATCACACGCAGACAGCCTGGCCTCATAGCTCCCGTTGCAGGTTATCTTTAAACAACCAGAGAAACAGCTGTGCAACCTCAGCCTCAGGCCTCTTTAATCCCACAGTTGAAGCCTGGAGAGCCTGCTGTCACTTTCATTTAGACAAAGGGATAACAAAAATGGGATGAGGCCATAGGTTATAACCACAAAACCAGACAAAATAGACATTTTTAACCGGAAAACTCCATGAACGGATAAATAAAGACAAAAATCTGGGATTTTCTGCAACTTTGCTTCAATCAGCCATAAGTACTTCTTATTGAGGCTTGCATCAGCTGCGTAATCTTTTAGTAAACTTGTCACCTCAGAAAATGATGTCATTTTAATCTATTGTATACGGTTCTCTTGCAGCTGAAGCCTTCAGGCTACTGCCAACCCAGATATGTACAGACTTTCTAGATCAGCTCCTGCAAAGATCAGAAAACTTTTAAAACCACAAATCCAACAAAGCGTTCATCTTCAATCAAAAGCAGAAGTCTCACCTTCAGCAGCTGTAAAAACGGCCAAAAGTGAAAGCAGTGAGTGGAGGGGGAAGTTGAGCACCATTCTGCTAAAGTTGCAGCTTCTGATCAAGCACTCTGCTCTGTGATCCAGTGCGCACCGAGCTCTGGTGACCGTGCACGCAGCTGCAGACAAATCATTACACCGCTGGCTGTCCAGTTACGTTCACCTCCTCTGACTGCAGAGGATAAAGTGAAAAAACAAGAATCCTTACGTCCACTTAAATATTCTCCTTCACATGGAGGAAATAAAAAGTTTGGGGTCGCCTTCTTCCATGAGATGAGCAAATTGTTTCTCCAAAGCCCTGCGGGAGTGCAGCTGGTGGTTGACACGACGGGACAGCATCAGGCACGACTCTTGTCATGATGGAGTTCAGTAAACATGTGCAGTCGGTCAGATTAAGCTCACCCACGTGGGTCTAATCGTCGGTGTGAGGGGGTAGAGGGGGAGTCTTGGCCAAATGAAATTCACACAAGGTCATATATCAGTGCTTATGACTGCTGATTTCTTAAATAAAGATTATATGTTGAGCAAAAGCCCAAAAAATCTGTCATGATATCAGTGAAATAATTAAAAATCATGTTTTTGTGTCTTTTTCTGTCTTTGGAGTTTTAAACCAGAACCACATTTTCTTTTATTTCTCACTTTCTGAACATTTCTTATCGTTTTGTGTATTTTACAATAATTAACAAGTCCGATTTTTGTTGTACGTCCCTTTTTATGAGCGTAATAATGTTTTACAGATGTCATAAGCATTTGTTTTTCTTTCAGACAGGCAGATGTAGTGAACACAAAATAGAAATGGGATCAGTATTAGCAGTAAGTTTAATTTTAATCAAAAACCAACGTAGAATCGAGATCTAATTAAATACAGGTATATTTGTTTATATTCTGTTTTTTGCTACTTTTTTGCCATCTTATTTTAATATATATTTTTTTAAATCTGTATGCCTCTTTTATGATTGTCTATTGTTGTTGTTGTTGTCATGTTGTCATCATTCGTTGTTGAAATCAGGTCTCTCTTGTAAATGAGTCCTCGAGGCTCAATGGGATTAACCTGTCTAAATAAAGGTTGAATTAATATACAATAAATTTGGATTATATGGCGAGTATAGCGAGTTCACTCACTGTTGCGATCCCTGAAGAAGGGAACAACCGGCAGCTAAAAAAAAATAATAATAATAAATAAGTAAAAAACATAGATTAGTAAAACTTATTATTAAAAAGCTTTGCATTCCTTGAAGGAATGCATGTCTCCCGCTGCCTTTCCTGACAGAGTTTTAGACTTACGTTAAATCCACATACTGTATAAATTGTAGCAGCTTTGGACAGAGATGTAACATTTGTGGTTCCCAACCCTAGTCCTTGAGGAACACCATCCTGCATGTTTTAGTTGTTTCCCTGCTCCAAAACACCTGATTTGAATGAATGGGTGATTAACAGTCTTCTGCAGAACTTGAGGAAGTAATTGTTCCTGAATTAGGTGTTGGAGCGGAGAAACAACTAAAACATGCAGTATGGTGTTCCTCAAGGACCAGGGTTGGGAACCATTGATTTTGAGTTTGTGTTGTGAATGACTCTCAGCTGCTACCAAATCAAGTTGTAGGTGAAACTGAGTTTTATATCTTTTTTTTGTTTAAAATTGTCAATTAACTGTGGTGGCCAGCTTAAATTGGGGGAGAGCAGAGCTTCTTGTTCACATAACCTCCAGGAGAAATGTGAAATGCCTATTCGAGGACAAGTGGGGAAGCCAGATTCAGATATTTGTTTTGGGACAGGCCGACTCTGCTTAATATTTTTGTCTGCCTTCATAGTTCAGGTACATCTCAATGGCGACTCCAAACAGCCAAATTTCGTGGTCACTCCGCCGGGCCGTGCTTGTAGCCTTCTCCAGGGTCGATTCCCTCAAGCCAGCGAGTTCCAGGAGCCGCAAGTGGCCTGCAATTCTCAGAAATTGCGTCTAGATTACGACAGCGCACATTGCATCTGAGTCCGAGTGTTGAAGCACGGCACACTCCTTCGCACGAGGCAGGCAGCCTCACAAATGCCAGAACCGCTGCCGACGAATTATAGCTGTTCTTGAAGATCATTTGGCTGTGATGTCCATATTGAGTCAGCGTTAATCACTTATAGATGTACGTCCAATAATTACTCTGAAAGTTTTTTTTAAATTAGTCCACTGCTTTATGAGACATTTTGCTAACACTGCAGACAAACAAATACAGACACAGTACTGCCTTTTACTTCAGCAGAGGGAAATAAAAATAGCCAGTCGTGAAGTCATTATACTCTTAAGAAAGGTGCTTAAACTCCAATCTGTGTTTAAAGCCTAATAGATAAACATGATGGCTTATTAATTGTTTTGTGGTAATTTGTTTGTAAAAACGTGGAATTTGCATGAGAACATTTTTTTGTTTGTTTGTTTCAGTGCTAGGATTTGGAGCAACTTGCAGACATTTCCTCACCTCTCCACTCTCCAGCATCCCCCTAAATACTGTTTCTGGAGCAAACAGCTCCCATAATTTGACAATTAAACCCAGTGCACCCTGTGTCTGTTTCATTACAGGGTGGCACGAGTGCCAGAATGGTGTCATTAGGGATGCAGGCATCACTGGTGAGTAAACAGTTTCCCACTTGACTGCAGAGGCTAATTGGAATAAATATGTGACCTAAGTGAGACATAAAGGGATCTCTAAATGCTCATAAAGTTTTGAAGAACTTACAGACTACGTTGTTAAGCTGGATTTGATTGTAGAAACTGCCGTGGCACTTACCGTGCCAGTGTGTGTTACATGGACTGCATTTTTAAGCCATTGAATTTTAATTTGGGTAGTTTGTCTGCAATTTTTGGCTTTGAGTCACAATTAAAGCTGACAGTGGCAGCGGCCACTGACAGCTGACTCTGGGAACGTCTCCAGATCTCAGTTGTTGTTCCAGATTTGCAACCTGCTGCCGTGGCGCTATTAGAGATGATGGAGGGACTTCGGTTTGTGTGGCTCCAGCAGTGAATGTAAAGAGCTGCTGCCAGTTGGCTTAAAGGTTTTTGGAGGTCATTTAATGTGGAGCAACGTGGGTCAAAAGCTCAAATCCTGTGAATATTTATGAAATTAAATAGAAAGCTGTGACTCGCGGAGCAGTTAAAACAGATTAATAAATTACCTCGGTGACTGCCGATGGAAGCCAAAGCCCAATCAGAGATATAGGAAAGGCCCTGTGAAAAGTCTGATTGTAAATTTACATTCATTTACTCACAGCGTCATCGCCAAGTCCTAGCAGAGGGCAGTGTGTAACTGGAAATGAATTGAAAGTAAATTAGCATTTTACTGTAACTTCTTAGCTTAATGCTGGTAACAGATTGTTCAGTATCTTCCTGTGTATTTCAACTTCTTTCAGTTTACAGTATGTACTCTTTATCTGGAGTAATTAAAATGCTACTAATCATAATTAAAGGTGCCATGAACTAACTTATTTAAATGATTTTCAGTACATCTTGGATATATTTTAACTTGATTTTTTATTTTTTATCTGCTTATAAAAGGAAAAAAAAACACACCTGTACAGATAAAATTGGGACTTTAAGCCAAAGTCCAAAGTATCCCCACCTGACTTGAATGGCGTAAAATTGTTGACAATGAAATGCCAAACTGCAGAGAGCATTCTGGTTACAACTTTTTTTATTGGTGTAAATCTCCGTTACAGACGAAGGATCAGAAGAAAGTTCACCAGATAAAATATCATAATGGTAGGCATGCACAAATTAGGCTCATACGTCTTTATTTCTCAAATACTCTGTATCTCAGTGCACCAGATATCAACTCAAATTAAATTGTGTGTAATGCTTTTCACGCATAATATGACCCAATGTGCTTTTCATTACGAACTTAAAATATAGAAACATTTTATATGCACATTCAAACAAACATATTCACACACACAGAATAAATGAAAAATAGAGGCATGAGAAACGCTCATGCATTTGCAAAAGTTTAAGTTTTTAACCTTTTCTTTTCAGATCCAAGGAACTGACAGATTTCCAAGGAAATCCGAATACATTTTTCAACATCAGATTTTGAAACAAGCTTTGCAGTTTAAGAAACATTGTGCTTCTTTTTTTTTTTTTGGACTTCAGAAATATAGAACTGAGATGAGCCGTAACGTTCTATTTCTGAGTTTTTGCATACCAGAAAAAATCTCTTATCTTGGTTTAGTTGTAAACTATTTTGTGAAATTAATTCATAAACATCATTTAAACACTGCATACGAGAATTGAGAGGATCTAAATAAACAAAATATCTTCCCTTTGAAAGGCGTTTTAGAAACTTCATAAAAAATTGTGTTTGCATGTGAATTAGAGAGATTATCTCAAGCATAACACATGGGGACGAGCAAATGTATGATCAAATTATATTTTTTTTAAAAAGTGACTTGCAAAGATTTTGATCATGGAAGAAAAATGGAAGAATCCAAAACACTTTTTCGTCTCATTCTCTCATGCCCTGCCGCCCATAATGAATAAACAAAAGTAAAATTAATAGTTTACTCTTAAGGTGTTGTAACAAATCGTGGTTGATTCATATTTTTTCAACTGTTCAGTTCATTTCAGTGATTCATTTCGATTCCTTTCAGTTTATTTATAAAGCGCCTAGTCACAACAGAAGTCATCTCAGGGCACTGAACAGAAACATTCATATATAAAATAATAAATTAACATTATTTATCTGAGGAGCAGACTGCTTTGAATTTACCTCCATCACAGAACTCTCATCTTGAGCAACCATGAAGGCGACAGTGGAAAGGGAAAAACCCCTCATGAAGAAGGAACCTTTAGCAGAACCAGGCTCAGGACAAGCGGCCATCTGCTTCAACCAGCTGGGTTTGGTAAGAACAGATAAACAATGGCAGGTTGAGAATTACATGTTAAGATAGAAATAGTTCACCATAGCAAGTTATCCTCCTCCATCTTACTCTCCCTCCATCTCCATGTTGTCCTTTTTGGCCTTCCCTTTCATCTTTAAACTTGCATGTTTGTTTCAGCAAAATGTTTTAAGCTGGATGCCTTTCCTAACATAATCCTTAATATTTGGCAGCACAATGGCTCAGAGGTTAGCACTGTTGCCTCACAGCAAGAAGGTCCTGGGTTCAATCCCCAGTTGCACCTGGGGTCTTTCTGTGTGGAGTTTGCATGTACTTCTCGTGCTTGCGTGGGTTTTCTCTGGGTACTCTGGTTTCCTCCCATGCATGTTACACTGCCTTCAGGCCCAGGTCTCCCTTGCAAAAGAGGTCTGTGATCTCAGTGGTTAAATTAAGGTTAATAATAAATATTTACCTGGGCTTCAGACTTGCCCTACAGCTTGTGACTAGTTTAAATTGTAACAGATTTTACACCAGAAAAGTGAAACATCAATATGTAAAAGGTGCTAATTAGAAAGTAGCACCTCTAAATTGTGACTAGTTTCATCACATTTGACCTGATGAACTTTTTTTTTTTCCTAGAAGTTGACATCCAGATGAACTACAGCCAGCCTGGGTCTCCACTGCATCACTCTCTGATTAGTGGATCTATTAACCTTTCCTGACAGTAATCCAGTTTGGTGATGGATCGTGAACTACAGCAATGTTCCATCTTAATAATTCCTTAATACCTTTTATTACTCCCCATTGGCTAGAGGGTGATAAATTATTTTTTATCAATCCATCAAACAAAGATCAGCTCTGTATTATCCTGTTGGTGCTGCATCCAAAAGGCAGGGATCATGTGGACAGATTAATGAGAGAGTGGCTCAAGAGCATCCAAGTCAATTTAAGTCATAAGTATTTAAGAAGTACTCTGAGCGAAGATTATTTCGGTCGCCCTGTTCTCTAATCTCAATGGAGTGCTGGAGGGGTAGTCTCTGAACATAAAGCTGTCGTTACACCTATATAAAAAGACTTAACACCACACTTGTCCAGAGAGAGAAAAATCTTTTGAAATTCTTGTCTGTGGACATCTTCCACTTCAAGTATTCTCAGCTAAAGATCACCAAGGCGAGAATTGTGACACGGTTTCTTTTCTTCGCACTCTTCCAAAGATGATGAATGGATGCTCTTTTCGGATAACGGCTGAACATGAGATTTCAGTCCCAGTGGGAAACTCCAGAGAGAGAGAGCGAGGAGGGGGAAAGCCCTTCTTACAACCAGCAGCCTTCTCTCAGAGCGCTGTCTTGAATAGGTCAGATGTTTGGCTCCGACCTCTTGCTGGGAGAAGCATCATTGTTGGAGGAGGATGAATAAAATGGTTCAGTCTCATGAAGCTTCTTCAGTGACAAAGAAAAACCACTAAAAGTCTGTTTTACAAAACTTACAGTTCAACGTTCATACAGGTATAAGACCTAATTTAATTCCAGGTTGGTTAAAAAATCCATACAGCTTAAGTACAGAAATCTAGCCAATTTAAATCAGTTCTTGATTCTTCTTGTTGAAACATTTTGTCTTTTATGCAAAAGACTTTTCAGTCTGAGGAGCTGCAATAAACTCAGTCTTATAAATGGCACATTCTCATAATGGATCAGCCAGTTTGCTGGTAGCAGCCAAAACTAGATGTTCACATGTTAAAGGAGGACCATCAGCCTATTGACCAATCGTTAGTGCCCTGATTTACAGCTTGCTATTCACAGAGGACTGAGTGATACTAGCAATAACAGCATTATAAGAGGGGGACAATTGGATATGGAGGCCTACGCCTTTGTTCGTCTGTTGTGTTTGACATGGGATTGTGTGGATTACTGGTAATATTGGGTAGTCAGTATCTTCATTAGACAGCAGTCAAAGTTGCTGTATTTCAGTTTAGAGCACATGTGTCAAACTCAAAGCCCGCGGGTCACATGTGGCCCGCCACGTCATTTTATGTGGCCCGCAAGAGCTTAAATGGTCTGATTGTTGCATAATAAATATGTCAAAATGTTGCACCGACAACAAACTACATTTCCCATATTGCATGCCGATTATGTTACCTGCCAAGTAATAGCATCGTGCCACTAGGTTGCAGTTTTTCCATATCAATACTATTTTCCGAACAAGTGGAATTGCGAAATACAATGATCCTAAAATGTCCTGGAAGAGAAAAACTGATGCAGATGGAAGACTGTTTCAAGAAAGATGGGAAGGCAAATATATGTTTGTGCTTCAAGGAGAGAAACCGGTATGTCTTTTGTGTTATGAGGCAGAAGTGGTCGTCAAAGAGTACAATCTACGTTGGCATTTTGGCACCAAATACGGAGCTAAGTAAGACAAAGTGAGCCTTCAACCCTAATGTTGTTATTTTGAGTTTATTATACTTATTACATGTCTTTTTTTTTTATATTATGGTATAATTTATTTGCAGCAATGTATTTGGGATTGCAGGTTTATGTTTATGCAAGCAAATGTTTTCTGTAATAATACCATCTCTCATTAGTTGGATGTATGAACCTTGCAAGGATGAGTGCAGCCATTTTTTTTATTTATTTTTTTTTGTAAAACCTGTCACACATGTTCTTAGCAGCTCACAATTGTTGGTTGGACCATTATTCTGCCCCTCTTATGACAAAAAAAAGTTTTGAACAAAGTTAATGTCATAACTTATTTTTTCCTTATTCACTTGGGAAGCTTGATAAATGATTTATGGAGTAATGCAGGTTTCATAACCTGGCAAATTAAAATGTTTTATGTTATAAAAGAGCAACAAGCAGACATATTTTTCTACATCTATACAAATATATATGGTATATGTAATATTTGTGAGTTGAATAATTAAAAAAATATCTGAATTATTTAACATTAATGAGTAGTTGTTTATTTTACATTATATTTAGTTAAATTTAGCTATGTTTATACTGTCTTACAGTTACACGGCCCTTTGAGGGCAACCATTATGCTGATGTGGCCCTCGGTGGAGATTAGTTTGACACCCCTGGTTTAGAGAGTCTAGAAAAAGCTGTCATAGAGAAGACAAGCCGACCACTGCTGAGAAAAGGATCTACCTGAAAGCAAATTCAAAAATGTTAAAAGGGTTTAAGTATCACATTTTAACCATATTACTTTTTCACATTGACATTTTTGGTTGTATACACTAAAGAGCATCTGTGTAAAGAAACATTTCACCATTTATTTATTAAATACAGGTTGCATAAAATATCATGTTGAGCATATCCAGTTCACATAACTACTCTATCTGATGAAAAGTTAAGTCGATGTATAAATTAATTACATGCATCATGTATTTAACATTTTTAGGGTCTGGGTTGCTTCTTTGAGCAGAAATTCACTCCTCTAGGCTTCGTCTAGTGTTAGCTTGAATCCTCTACAAGAATTTCTCTAAACAAGTCATTATAATAAAACACTTCAAATAAAGCCTAGGGTGCCCCTTTTCCATCTTCATCTGATTTATGTTATGGTGATAGTTCACTGGGCTGTGACTATAGTGAACATTCATGAGGAGGTCTCAAGAATGTCTTAATACAGTCATTTTCATCTTCACTGCATTAGGCACAGATGGATAAAAAACTGTGGCTTGATTTTTGAATATGTTCAAAATTTGTGCAAAGACTTTTCCCTGAAAATAGTCCCAGAGATGCTATGATCATCTTCAAGCTATCTTAAAAGTGTATTCTGTATTTTGACATCTTCACGTGAGCTTTCAACTGACTGAAAATGTCTGAGGCAAATGTCCAGGTCTAATGAAAAACATTAATTACTGACAAGTAGTTAAAATCGGCTTATGTTCCTGAAGATTGGATTATAAATGAAGGGGTGACTCCCGAGATGAGTACAAACTGAGCATAGGCAAGAAAATGTGGTATGATGTAGACAGTGGTGGACAACAAAATAATATGCACAGCCAAGAATGCAGTTTTTCAAGCATCCAGCCATCAATTATCTTTTACCCGCTTCTTCCGTTTTGGGTCATGGGGTCGCCGTTGCCCATGTCCAGCAATCACTGTGCGAGGGGCGGGGTACACCCTGGACAGGTCGCAAGTCCATCACAGGGCCACATAGAGACAAACGAGACAAACAACCATTCACTCTCTCACTCACACCTAGGGACAATTTACAGTATACAATAAGTATGAGTGTGTATATATATATATATATATATATATATATATATATATATATATATATGCATGAGAATATAATATCATAACAAGTTTTTTCAAGCAATGAAAAACAAATTAAGCTATGATTTTCTCGCTGGTCACTAGGTCATAAATGGTCTAAGCTCAGTGAGACTGCAACCAAAAAGTCACAGTTTCCAGCAATGTATTCGCCAACTAGTCACTGTAAGTCACAGCCCAGTGAGATAGCATCTTTGTGACCAAGATGATGTGGGTGCAGGAGCAACCAGCTGTCGTTAAACTTGGAGCCACTTGGACACAGCCAAAAGGTGGAATGCTCCATGTCAACACATCTGAGTTATGACCCACACCTCTTGTTTTTTTTTTTGGTTACTGGCTTCATTTATAGATGTGTGTATTATCTCGATGTGGCTGGCTCGATTGGTGATTCATGACTAACCAGAAGCAGCACAAACAGAGGCTTGTTTCTGTATCCAAAGTACAGAACTGTTTCAGTAAAATACTACTTAGTGACTGCTGGAAACGGGGGCCAGTGACCCCCGCAACCCGAAAAGTAAAAAGCGGGTAAAGATAACAGATGAATGGGTAGAAGTACTCCACACTTTGTACATATGTATGATTCAGTTTATTAATGGTGCAAGGTTAAAATCTTACCTGAAAATATTGTGATTTCTCAACTCTGGTTAATATTTTAATTGTGTGTGTATATAGCACAGTAATTATATAAACATATGAATTATAAAGGGCGTTCCAATTATCTTAACTACATTTCATGTGCAGCACATGCATGTAATTAATTAACCTTAATATTGGGACATATTGTTCACAAGTACACAAAAAGGAAAAAAGATGAATGAATAAGAGACATTGTTTTAGTTTTTTGGGTTGTTTTCCCTCAGGAATCTCCTCGATGGGTA